CTAAAAGTCAAAATGTCCTTGGGCCTGTTAGCAACATGCTCTGTTCTAAAAGCCAAAAACTGTCCAAAGTATTTGGGAGCTTGCATCTAATCCTTAAAAGATTTTAGGGTTACCTCTTCAGAGGGGGGAATGTTGGAGGGGAGAGAGTGGGCATGGATTTGATCAAAACACCTTATATGCATGTATGAAATTCTCAATAAAGTTTTTGTAAAAGTTAAAAAAAAAAAGACATCTCTCTAGCCACTTCATGAAGAGTCTTTTAAGGTAATGTGGTAAAGCATTTAGAATGTTCTGGAGACCCAAGAGCATCAGATGAATGTTGCTGATGAGTTAACACTGAGAAACTGAGAGGCTGCCTCCCCTGGGGACTGGCTGTTAATGGAAGAGGAGGGAGGGAGAGAGCAGCCTACAGCCTTGTCCAAGCTGCCTCTTCCCATCTCTTCCTCCATCAGTTTCCATGGAGATAGGTAGCAGATGGAGATCTGCCTGTGTTTCTTCCCATCTGCCTGCTGGAGAAGGGAGCATGAAGCTGCTTCCCTTGGTGAGGGATGACCCACTTTTCTAGAACCCCAGTCTCATAGGCAGAGAGAACACTGCCCTAAAGAGCTGAGCAGGCACTTGGGCTGGAACCACAGACATGTCCACAGCCATGTTCATCTGTCCACGGAGGTCATTGAGGGAAAAAGCAGGGCCCTCGATGGACACAGAGCTTCAGAACTGGGTACTTTACTAGCTCAGGTACAGTCCTAACAACAGCCTCTGACTGTGGCTCCTCTTTATGCCCAAACATTCAGCTCTGGCCTTATCTCCCATGTCATCTAGACCATCTCTCCCTCTAGAAGCCTCTCCATTGCAGCAGCTGCTCAGCAGTCACTGGAACTTTCCTGGATTGGCTGCCTGTCCTGCCAGAGGGATAAAGGTGAGCAAAGTCACATCAAGCCAGATCTGAGCAGAGAGTGGCAGCACCCAGGGGGCTGTTGGGGACCAGGACTGATAGCTCTGCTCTTTGACTGCAGATCAGAGGGCTAAACTGGTCAAGGGCCACTTCTGGGGTCCAAACTTGGGAAAGGCCTCTTTCCTGTGGGCCCACAGAGGACACGTCAGCTCTCTCCCCCTGTGCCACAGCCTGGGATGTCTTCCCTAGGGATACAGTGTTGTGCCCTTTATAGTCCAGTGTGGGGAAGGACAGGGTTTTCTCTTGACAGCAAAGGCTCAGCCAGTTTTGATGTCAGTCAATGGCCTAGGCTTGGGACAGCATCCTTGGCTGAAGAGGAGGGTACCACATCAGAAAGCCATTGCCTGGTCTTGGGTTCATGGCCTTCAGTTCTGACCATTGCTGTTTGGGAACCTCCACTGGCCATGCTTCGGAGCCAGTCTCACTTCCCCTACTGACACTGACCTTCCTCAGGACTTGCTCTGCCAGGCCAGCCAGGAGGGGACGGGGGGACACCAAGAGAGCCCTTCAGAAAGCTAGCTCATCCCAGACCCCGAAACCTAGCTGGTAAGGTCATGAGTCTTTCCAGGCCTGGACAAGGCCCCTCCTCACCGCACCAACTCACACAGTGCAGAGTGCAGGACATGTGCTCTTGGCTGACCTGCACCACAAAGCCACTTGTAGAACCATCACTTCTCTGCCTTCCTGCTGCTCCTGGTCCCCAGAGAGGGGACCATGTGATGGGGCTAGCTCCCTGAACAGCCCCTCAGATACTCTGGCTATTCAGGTTGTCATGACAACACTCCAACTGGCCCACTTGTCCACTTTTCTTTCTATACCCGGCCACTCTCTGGGAAAGCAGAGCAGCCTCCCTCTGTTCCCATTGCTCACTGGTACAGCTTGGTACACCAGGTGACATGGTATGGTAAGGACTTTTATGTGTCCTGAAACAGTCCCCTGCTCCCATCCTAGCCTTAAATCCCTAAGAGCTGGGTGGTACCTGTCAGATGCTGTGATGAACTTTTCCAGGGTATGGAATCCACTGTAGGCAAGAAACTACAGAAGTGTAAAGAGAGAAAGGCAGGTGGTAGAAGCAGAATGAGAGAGCAGGCCAGGCTCACAGACCCTGACTGACAGCCAGTTGGGCTACCATAGTTCCCAGGGACCCTGTCAAAGACAGCTCCTGGGCCCACTTCCTGTTGTACCTTGCTCACCTGTATCTCACATGCAGCCTGTAGGTGGAAGATCTTATAGAACGCTTCTTCCACTGTGTCGCCCAGGGCAATGACACCATGATTTCTTAGCACCAGAATCTGTGAAGGAAGAAAGATCAGTTAAACTGAAGGCTCTGAATCGTCACTCCTGGGGCAGTGAGATGGCCCAATGGGTAAAGGCATTTGCCACCAAATCTGAAAACCTGAATTCGATCCACACATGATGGAAAGAGAGAACCAATTCTCGCAGGTTGTCCTCTGATCTCAACATAATAAAATCAAAATGAATCTTTTAGAAAAGGTACTTCTGAGGATTAAAAGATAGCTCAGCAGTTAGGAGCACTAACCGCTCTTGCAGAGGACCCAGGTTAGGTTCCCAGCACCCAAAGGCAGCCAACAACCATAAGAAACCATCTGACACCCTCTTCTGGCATCCTAGGGCATTGCATGCATGGGTGCACATACATACATTCAGGTAAAACATTAATACACATAAAATTAAAAGAAAATAATTAGTTAATTAAATTTAAAAGGTGCTTTTAAAAAAACTTAAAAATCATTATTTTATGTGTATGAGTGTATTGCCTGTATGTAGGTAAGTGTACCCGTGTCGTGCAATGTCCATGGAAGTCAGAAGAGGCTATCGGATCCCCTGGGATTGGAGTTACGGACAGTTGTTAACTGCCATGTGGGTGCTGGGATTTGAACCCAGGTCTTCTGCAAGAACCGTGTTCTTAACTGCTGAGCCATCTTTCCAGCCCCCTAAAGGTGCTTCTTTCTTAAGAGAAACTTTTCATCTTACTAAGATCAACTCCATACCCAAGCCTGGAGCCCCTCCCCCTACTCCCTGTTCATCCTCTCCAATCAAGAACCCTGTGATTTGAGTCTAGTGCATCAAATGGAGGATATCGAGAAGATGTTTTTAAGTGACCCTGTACAGTTCAGGTGACTTCTTTGGAAATGCCTGGATTCGGGGGCTTTGGAGAATTCAGAAGCCTGAAAAGCTGGTGTACGTGTTAAGTGAATCAAACTATTTGATACCTTGTACAGGGGTCAGACCTCAAAACAGCCTTCTGCCCTTGGGACTTAGTTGATTTGGGTCAGAACCCAAGAGAGTAGTGCCCTGAGAGATGGTTCAGCAGAAACAGGTGGCTACATCACCTCTTTGGTCTCAGGGTGTCACCCCACAAACTTGAGGAGGCCCTGCTGACTCCCATATCCACAGTTCTATTCAAATTGGCTTTTTAGATGAGGAAGCAGACGTCTGGAGAAGCTGAAAGTCTCCTGGCTAACTAGAGGCAGAATCTGGACTAGAGCCTGGGTTTCTTCTGGTGATACAACTTCTTATTTGGCAGGGGCAGTGAGTAAAAGGGTGAAGAGACCAGTAATCTGTTTAGACAGAGAGCAATATGTGCCCAAGGGTCAAGTGTACCTGCCTACAAGAAACTTTTCTTGGTTGATTTTACCCCCAAGAACTCTGAAACCATACAAAGCCCATGTGGGAGCCAAGGGACAGAGCAGAGGCACAGAGATCAGTGAACTGAATTTGTCCTTGCAGAGGGCTAAGCCTCCTGGCTCAAAGCATCGCTGAATCCTTGCTTGCTGAAAACAGCTGGAGTTCCTTCCTCTCACATGCCAGGAACATAGAAAGCTTAGGGCTCCAGCCCCAAAACAGAAGTACAGGAATCCCCTCTCTCAGAGTTCCGCTGCCTGTATCAGATGTGGCATCTCAGCCCCCTCCCAACACTGCTGAGGACATGGGGAAGGGGGTAGAATGGATAATCTGTGGGGACATTTGGGCAATATGAAGTTGGAGTTCTAAAATGTGTACCCCTAGAAATTTCTAAGGAAGACACTTCAAGCCAAAAGTTAGCTGGAAGGATTTCCACCATGGTGTTGTTGATAATAAGCAGAAATTGGGAGGTAGGATGGGAAGCAGCCTTCTAATGGGCAGCCATAGAGGACTACTCAGGTAAATGACACAGCCATTCATATAATGGGGTATGATTTAGTAATCTGAGTGACAGAAAATATTTAATGATGTACAAAGGTGTTTAATGCATGTTTCAAGGGGAATAGAGGAGAATGTTTTTAAAATCTGTTTTGTAAATGCATGTGAATACCCTTAGAGTATGCACTAAAATTTGGAGCAATGTAAGAAAGGTTTTCCTTTTGATTTCTTTTTATTTTATTTGGGGGGGGGGACAACAGTTTATTTGAGAGCAAACAGCCTGCTGGGCTACTCTTGGGGAGCAGGGAAACAGCAGAGAAACAGCACCGAGCAGGGGAAGTCAGATATCTTTTATAGGCAGTTAGGTGGTTGAGTAACTTTCTATGATGTAGGCTGGGAAGTTTATCTCAGGATCAGTTGGTCTCCAAACAAGAAAAGGGACTTGCCTGGGGCTAAGTTTGAACCCGCCCTTTTTAGAATATTGCAATCCGGTGCTGCCATTTTAGGAGCCTGCCGGGAACCTGACATTCCAGCCTTTTGTTGATGATAAGGGGCAACTGTGGTCTTTAGCTACTTCCTGCTGGACAGGAATGTTGGCAAAGATGGGTGGTCTCAAAAGGCTGGAACATTGGAGTGTGGAGTCAGGTGGGCAGGAGACCTGAGGGAATTCAAAGAGCATCTGGTTCACTGACCATTGGGACATCTCATTGACTCTATCCTAACCCAAACTCTGTCAGAGTGGGACTGAAGAAAGCAGATGGACTCATAATCTCAGGCTTGATGTGGTGAGTGGTGGGAGCTGACATAGGCAAGACTGTCTGTATCACAGGCAGGAGTGCATTGTCAGCAGCATGGCTTGATAAGAGGGAACTGGGTCATAAGTAACATAGTCATTCCTCTCCTGGATTTCAGGACCATATGTATGGAGGAGGACATGGCAAAGACTACTGACCAGGCAACTCCATGGGGCAGGGGGCATCAGTTTATTTGAGAGCAACTAGACCACTGGGCTGCCTCTTGGGGAGCAGGGAAACAGCCGATTTCTTTTTTTTTTTTTAATCATCTATAAAACTTGGTGACTGGAGAGATAGTTCAGTGGTTTAAGAGCATGTACTGCTCTTGCAGAGGACCTGAGTTCAGTTCCCAACACCCACCAAGGGGTAACTCACAACTGCTCGTAACTCCAGCTCCAGGGGATCCGATGCCCTCTTCTGGCTTCCTCTGTCAACTGCATATGTGTGTATATACACGCAGAGACACATGCATATAAATGAAAACAAATCTTTAAAAATCCCCTACATGTTCTCTAGTGAACACATGTCAGTTTTGTGATGTTTGCTGTGCATTATACGGGATGGGGGTAGGAGTGCACAGATGTGTGTGCAGGTTCATGTGCTGGTTCATGTGCACGTGTGCATGTGGCAGCCAGAGGTCAGCATTGGTTTCTTCCTCAGTTGTTCTGGACATGCAAGTCCCATGGATCTGCCTATCTCCCTCCCAGCACTGGGATTGCAGGCACATGCTGCCATGCCCAGCTTTTTACATGGGTGCTGGGGGATGGAACGCAGGTCTCTGCATAGCAAACACTTTACCCACTGAGCCATTTTCCCAGCCCTGTGTTTTCCCAGTGCCACTCCAGAGCAGGTTCCCAGAACTAAGCAAACCTTGCAGGTGGGTCCAAGGCACTTCTGCAGGTTGATGCGATCTGCTTCTTGCTCCATTTCTCCATTGAAGTCATAGTAAGCCATGTCCCCCACCAGCAGGGCATTGTGAGAGACTGGCAGGAGGCCACACTTCATGGCTGACACCTGCAGAGGAACAATAGGTGTCTAGCATCTGTAGCCCCAGCTCCAGCATGGACTGGGCCTCTCTCCTCAGAAGGGGAGAGGTCAGCTCTGCTCTGGGACTGGGGATTGCAGATGGTCATAGGAGGAAGGCCTTTGCAAACTGCTTTCCTCTCTTCTTTCCCACTGATGGCTCTAAGGGCTTTCCATTACATTTCCACACTGCTACAACAGCTGTGAGGAGCAGCTGGAGAGAAAGCACCCAAAGAGGGTTCCTGTTGCCCAGCTTCAGCTTTCCTCTTGTTCTGTGAAGAGGCTCGAGTGGATAGGGTATTTGTTTGTTTGTTTATGTTTTGAAGACAGGGTCTCAGGTACCTCAGGCTGGCCTCAAACTCACTATGCAGCTAAGGAACTTGAACTCCTACTCCTCTTCCACTTCCTGAGTGCTGGGATTACAGGCATGTGCTACCGCATCCTGCTTATATGGTGGTCAAACTGAGGGCCTCCTGCATGATAGGCCAGTGCTCCACTAACTGAGCTACATCACAAAGTTTGAACCAGGCTAAAGTAAAGCAGAACCCAGGACCCCTGGGATGGGTTGGGAGACTCTCATCCTTGGCTTCAATACAGAAAAGTCCTTATCTACTTACTAATAGAGAAAACTATCGGGAAATCCCATAGTATGGCCCTGAGGCTATATGAGTCAAGGATCCAGGGCCAAAAACTTGGGTTGGAGCCCCCACCCCAACTCTCATTGAAAGAAAGAAGCATAGTGAGATGTAGACAAGCCTTGCCTGCCTTCCCTAACTACCCTTAGTTAGTCTAAGCTCCACAGAGATGCTGGGACACAAATGCACCATCAAGTCTTGGTCCAGATCCTGGGCAGTCTGGGTGCTCATGACCCTGGTACTTTCCTGAAAAATCAACAGGCTGGGGCCAAGTACTCTGCCACACAGGTATGTCATGGGGATAGTAGAAAACGACAGGGGCTGAGGCAATGCCCAGGGCCAGTGTCTACTGTCGCTTCAAGTCGTATTTCAGTGCCTAAGTACACATAGAGATGGCCTTGGGGACAACCTGCTATCTGAGGTTGTTCCTTTTATCCCTCTCCCCAGTTTTACTGGATCCCATCCTCAGTTCTTAGCTATGGCAAAGTGGACAGGCTTGGTTCCTTCCAGCCTGTTGTTCTCTGTCAGGGCTTCTCCTCCTGAGCTGTGTGGGAACAGGGTAACCCACAGCCCAATGGCACTGAGTTGGGTAGAAATTCAGAGGGCACAGTGTCTGGGTGAGTTCCTGAAGCAGAGTGGGAGATGCTATTAAATGCACATTCTACATCTTTACCTTCCACTAAGACTTGGTAGGTAAAAGGAGGGCCTGGATGAAGAGTCCTATACTGGGGATTCTCTGTCTTGGCTAAGTTCTAGATCTTTCCAGAACTTTCAAATGATGATATTGTTATACCTCAGATGATACTCCCTCAGGGAGCACAGTACTGGGAGGCCCCACTTACCGCTGCTGTGGCAGGTGTGTGTAGGTGGATGGCACATCGCACGTCTGGCCTGGCTGCGTAGATGGCAGAGTGCAGACTGAAGCCTGTCGTGTCCACTGGGAAGCAACTGCTGCCCTTCTCTACCACCTCTCCCAGGATGTTCACCTTGATCTGGGTGGGGAGGAAGAGGGAAACTCAGAGTGGCAGAAGAATCTTCTTCCATCATGTGGAACCAGTATGGCCTCTGCCCAGGTCCACCCACTCCAGACCCCAGGAGCAATGGCTGGCTTTGGTGTTGGGAGACAGTGTCTGGGTGACTTTTAAGAGATGACAGATGGTGATGATGCCTCTGGGAAAATGCTGGGGAAGTTTCTCCAATTTTACTATCTATCTTTTTATGAGCTATCAAAATAGAGATTCTGACCATAGAGGAATTTGCTCTTCCAGCAATTTTCCAAGTGATACCCAAGCTGCGGCCCACAGTGCCCACTCTGAGTAATGATCTAGAAGAGAGTTAGTAATATAATCCTTTAGAAGCAGCTAGGAGAAGTTTGAATTCCATAGGAAGTTATGTCTATGCTGAGCCATCTCATGTTTAAAGCATTTTAACATTACACATGAAGACAATGGTGTGCTGAACACCCTTCACCGAGCACCAAAAAGAGAGGCATTAAAGAGGCTGTGGAAAGAAGTTCTGCACCCACTCTTCACTCCAAGGGGCTAGCAGGTGGAAAAAAGAAAAAGACACCTAGAGAATGGGTGAGGGGTTTGGGGGAAGGATAGTGGAAAGGGAATTAAAGATAGCAAGAGAGAGCAGAGTCAGGGACAGGAGGGAGGGAGAGAGGAAGAGAGGGAGAGAGGGAGGGAGAGCTGTTGGCTGACTGTGGTGTTCCCTACTTAACAATTTCACAGAATGCCAACATCAGAAGAGGTCACTTTATGACTGCTACAAGACAACTGACACTCCTTCATCACATCTAAGCACAGCCAGAAACAGCACTGTGAGTTAGCTCAGCAGTGACCAGGTTGCCCTTTCCCCTGTCCTCTCTCCCAGATCTCTACTTGGAGGGAATATCAAGGGCAGGCAGGTAAAAACTTCCCTGTCCCACAGCCTCCTGGGTGGAAGCCCACCCAGCACACACTGCAAGGGCACACCCCTCAGAGTCCCAAAAGGCCCAAGACAAACCCCAATCCCGAGGCAAGGTCCTCCTAACACCTTAATGAGTGCATGTCCTGGTCCCCAGGCCCTCTGCAGCCCACAGCTCACCTGACTAGTGGACTACAATGGTTTCCCACACATTAACAAGCTAGATTATAATTTCTAAAAAAAAAAACAAAACAAAAAACGCTGCAAATTTTGCCCTCAAAACTGAAGCACTCATGACACCTCAAGTCTAGCACACAAGGTAGCACTACATATTGTCCCCCACCGGACCCCATAAAGCCATCAGGCAAGAAAGGGATCGAAGGAAGAAGACATCCTGGTATGGAGAGGGTGAATGAATGGAGCAGCTTTCAACAGACCCCTACCACAAAACTATGCATGAATTTTACAAAATAACCCTGACAGTGGCTCTTCCTCCTCATGCTCCTTAAACCCAAGTGCTTGTGCTCAGCCTGGCTCCCCAGTTCCTCAGAGTGGTCTGGTTAGACTCCACTCTCTGGCAGGGCCTCTCTTTGAGCTCATGTGTTCTATATTTCATCCTTGGATATATGACCTGTCATTTAAGAATCTGCACAGTCTAACAGGATAGCCACCAGCCCATCTGGTGCCTTTGTCCAAATGAGAAAGCAAGAACTCAGAGACTTGGTCTTGCTGTCTGCTGGTCTCCACACCACTGTCAGGGTGATCCATGAACAAAGGAAACCAGATTACCCTGCTTGCCTGCCCCCATGGGATCAGATAGGTACTGGTCACCTGAGTAAGGGTCTATACTGAGAGGCTGGACCATACTCACCAGACTGGAGGCTGTGACTTCACTGCAGGAAACACCCTTGGGGCTGATGAGGAAGTGGTCCTGCTCCTTGCTCACTCTCAGCTAGAGGAAAGATACGCATTGTCAGGGCCAAACTTGGAGAAGTGATGCTTCCAAGGACACTGAAGCCCTTCTTCCCTTGAGCCACTGTACCAAGCCTTCCTCCAGGGAACCCATATATCTCCCCCTCTATTAGGAGAGGAAAAGGGTCTAGCCTTTAGTTTTAGACTGTGAAAAATGGAACTGCCAGAAGACTTTCACAGAGTTTAAGAACAGCCCTATATACAGGAGCTAGAAGTTCCTGGTCCTGGTCCCCATTCAAGATGTACCCACTGGGCAGGTTGTCTGGTCTAGTAGCCACAGGGATTTATGGAAGAGTTCAGTGAGTTTTAACAAAGGCCACCAGCAGTGCCTTGGATATGTTAAGGGTCAGGAGTCCTCCCTTTAGGTTTGTGGGGGCTGTGGGCCCTGCATTCCTCACCGTGACATAGGTGTCACTGAGCTGTGCCCAGCCATAGAGGTCCAGCAGCCGGTAGACACTGCTGATCTTGCAACGCATCAGCCGCTCTCCTTTGGCTAGGTTCAGGGAGTCGGCAGTGTGGAGGTCATTGATGGGCGTCATCATGGAGAAATCTGTGGGGATTGGAGGAAAAAATGGATCCCTGGGTTCCTGGTCAGGAGCCCCCACCAGCCCACCCTGTACTCACCCAAGAACAGTACCCTGGGGTCAGGAGTCCCCACCAGCCCTCCCTGTGCTCACCCAAGGTCCTTCCAGACTTCACCGACTGATGCTACTACTGCATACAAAGCACCCAAGCCAGAGGATCAGAGAGTGCCTTGCCCTGACCCAAAGGCAGAAAGGCCACAGAATGACCATTACAAAGCCCTCTGCTCGGCTGAGTAAGCATGGTATTATTTTTGGACAAAATCATGTCAAGGGCTTGGGCTGTAGCTTACTTGATAGAAAGCTTACCTGGTATACACAAAACTCTAGGTTTGATCCACTGGATAAAACCAAGAGGGGTCTATAAATCCCAGCACTCACTCATGAGGTAGAGGCAGAAGGACCAGAGGTTCAAGAACATGCTGGGCTAGATAGCGAGTTTGAGGCCAGCATAGGCTACATGAGACCTTGTCTCAAGAAACAAAACAAAACAGACCAAAAATAAAAATAAAAAAATCAAGCCATGAACAAAGTGCTCTTTGAATGTCAAGGTTACCATAAACCCTAAAGAGGGACACTGAATAAAGGTAAGGATAAATATCTGAGGGGGAATATGGATATATATCACCATTAGTTCTAATGAAGACATTACTAGGACCAGCAAGATGGCTCAGAGGGTTAAGGAGCTTGCTACCAAATCCGATGACCCAAGTTTGATCCTGGGGACCCACATAGTGGAGGGAGAGAATTGACTCTCAAAAGTTGTCCTCTGACCTCCACACATGTACTGTTGTATGCCTCCCAAATAAATAAATGAGTGTAATAAGTTTTTTTTAAAAAAGAAGTTACTGATAAGTGGGCTTGCTGTTTCCATGTTTTAAGTTTATCATGTAACAGAACTTTTCCTGTGGCTTGGAAACAGGGCACATAGAAAGCCAAGTTGGCCAAGAAGAAAATTCCTCTACTTTTCCCAAGTCATTTTTGAGAGCCATAAACACCAGAAGTCAAGGTTAGCTAGAGAGGAGCAGCACCCATCAGGGGGTTTCTGCTCTTGTGGGACAGGCAGACACTTGGTTATGTGTTGGTTCTTTCTAGGAGTTTGAGGGAAAGGCAGATATACTTGGAAACAGCCCTAGAAGATTTGATAGTCTCCTCCCCAGAGCATTCTAGGTATATCCCCTTAACCATGATGGCACCTGTTACACACTTCAAGAGAGTAGAAGGAGGCACCTGACTCCCAAGCACTTGGGCTATGGATGTCTAGAAAACAAAAGAATTGATGAGAAAGGACTTCAGTTTTAAATGATGCCCGGCAGAGAGCCTCCTGGTGGCCCTCTCCCAGCTTCCACCTAACTTCAGATTAAAATGCTTTTTGGAACTGTCCTGGCTCTACAAACCTCCACTACACTGTATGATGGTGCATCTTGCACTCAGGTTTCCATTAGTTAATGTGACAAGATGGTCTGCAAGTGTAAAGGTGGAATGGGCACTGCCAGCCACCATTCAGCAAGCAGAGCATGCTCGAGATACCTCCAAGCAGGGACACACACCCAAAGTGCCTGTGCCACTAGATACTACACCCTGCTGGGACATGTGTCCACTAAGTGTAGTTAACAGGGGTGTAGGAGGCAGCAGCAGTCCAAAGGCCCAGGCAGATGGACAAGAACAATAACATTCTAAAGTCAAGGACTTCTATTGGGGAAACCAGCACTTTGCTTTATCCCCAAGGGCAAAGAGGAAAAAAATGAAATGCACAGGACCTTGGGCAAAGTCTGGCAGGCAGAATGCTGTTCGGAGGGTCTTCAAAGCCAGCATTCTTTGACTCCTTCTCTTACAAACAATGATGGAGTCCCAGGGATGGCCATGAAACCCTCAAACACTCATTTCATGTCCATCTCAGACATAGACCTCCTCCCTGACCCTGTGGAGCCTTAGGCATGAGGAGCTCCTCAGCCCCAGAACCCTGTACACAGAAACAAGAAGCTGAGGGCCCGACTGGAGTTCCTGGTCCTCTGCTCTCTGAATCTGAATGTCAAAAATGCTCACTCTGAGCAGCCACGTGAATGTTATGATGGCTGACTGCCATGTCTATAACATTCCTAAGAAAATACTGAAAGAGAAGAAAATTTGCCACATTCTTCCCAGCTAACACTGAAGGGCACATTAATGCAAAAGAGAACACACAGTACCAAGGTGAATGGAACGAAACAGAGCAGCCTATCCAGCCCTGAACTCCTGACACTGGGAGCCTGCCCCCTCTCTCTCCTAGAAGGAATATGCATCTGCATCCACCAGATCTTTAGGCATCCATCTTTCTTCTGGGCAGGTACTGACTGCTGGGGGTAGTGGGAGGCTTGTTGGTCATGTTGTATTGGTCTCTTAGAAGTAAGAGTGTAAAGGCAAAGACATGAAAACAGTGAGACAGCCTATGGGAGACAAAGACCAGCCAGCAAGTACATCCATACTGATGTAAGGAGATTTCTTCTGAGCTGAAATAAAAAACCTGTGTATACAAAGTATATGGACTTCTCACATTTCAGGGCAAAGAAAGTGCATAAAAACAACATGTTTCCTGGCATTGTGTGTGAAAGGCAAGGATGAGGGGGCAGTACATGAGCAATTCCAAAAGCACTGGTGTACAGAATAGCTTTGGTTGTCAACTTGACACACCCGGATAGAGAGACTCTCAGTTGAGGAAATTCCTCCATTAGATTGCCCTGTGGCAATCTATGGAGTATTTTCTTGATTGTTGAGTGATTTGGGAGGCCCCAGTCTACTGTGGACAGTGCCATTCCTGGATGGATAGTCTTGTGTTGTATAAGAAAGCAGGCTGAGCACAGGCCAAGGGAGCAAGCCAGTAAGCAGTGTTCCTCCATGGTCTGTGCTCCAGGTTCCTTCCTACCTTGGCTTCTCTTTATGATGAACTGTGCTGTAAGCCAAACAAACCCTTTCTTCTCCAAGCTGGTTTTGGTCAGTGTTTGTATCACAGCAACAGAAAATAATTAGAACAATCGGTTACCCACAAAGAGACAGAACAGGCTGCCTCAAGCTGCTTGAGCAAACACAGAGAGTCAGGACACAATGCAGGAGGCTTAAAAAAAAAAGCAAAATCGCAAAATCATTGAAGTTATGCAAAACATACAAACAAAAGAAAGATCAAAAAGTATGCCAGTCAAGGGGCTGGAGAGACGACTCAGTGGTCTTAAGAGCACTTGCTCTCTTGTAGAGGATTGGAGATGGGCTCTCAGCACCCACCTCGAGCAGCTCACAACTACCTCTACATCTAGCTCCAGGAGACAATGCCCTCTCCTAGGCTCCTTCAGCATCTGCATGCCTGTGTGTATGCCCACACAGAGACACACAAATAAAAATAAACTTCTTGAGGGAAGCCGGATGGGAGAAAAAAAAAGAGTGAATCTCACGGGGGGGGGGGCAGGTAGGAAACCTAGAAGAAAAAGTGATGCTCTAGAAACCCTATGAGAAATGCACAGATAATGTCTGAACATTAATGCATGTGTACACCTGGGAGCTGCTTGGCAGGGAACACAGTGCCAGACAGAAGAGACCTCCTTAGAGTGATAAGCATGCCTACAGCACTCATCAAAGAAACTTCTTTTAGTAACAGATGGAGGCTACTGCAGAGTTGCACATCTGGTCAGGCACAGAGAATACATACCTGGGAGATGCCCAGTACTAGGTGACACGTCTGCAGTCGAATCTCTACAACTAAGGCTCAAGGATCAGTGGAATAAGGGGTAGACAGAGGGCTAATGCGCCCCTCAACTCTCACCAGTGAGGTATCTATGTACATCAGAGTGTGATACACACAGAAGGCCACGGCTGTCAAATTTTGAAGAATAAGAGACTGCAGAGTGTAGGATGGGACTCCTCTATGGAATCTCACCCACCCACGGCTCAGGGACCGTTTCAGAAGAGGAGGTAGAGCCAGGGCTGGTTCATGAACACAGGGAGGTGGAGGCTTCCAGGACACTAGAGGCTTGCTCATGTGAACCTGTGGCAGTGGTGGCATCAAGCGTGTGAACCATGTCAGCACTATTACACAAGGGCCCAAAGGGGAGGTGAGAAATAGTTGGTGGGTCAGCACTAGACAGAACTATTTGAGGTCAATTGCTGCTGGGTGAGGGAGAGTATGACTTACAAACAACCATTGGGTGGGCTGACTAGACTCCACTGGACACATTTACACTGAAGGACATTTGGGTACAAATCCCTGAATGAACAGGACTCAGCATGTATGGCAGAGTGCATAGGGTTCAGTGGGGGGATGGGGGAGGCATGGGTGGAGGAGGGGGGAGGGTCTGGATTTGAGTGGGAAATTATGAAATTTTAAAAAGTATACTAGCTAAATTAAAATGTAAAATGTCATATTATTATTACTATTATTATTATCAAAGTAGAAGTTAGGCAGAATAAACTTCTTTTTGACAAAGGGAGCCATTTGTAGGTCGTTTTATACAGAGTAAGAGTGTACAATGACGCTATGGCTACCATGAACACTTGTACTCTGAGTGCTATTTTGTCAACATATGTAGAGTCGGTTGGGTATAGTGGGACTTCTTTCTGCAACCCAGCACTCAGGAGTTTGAGGCAGAAGGATCACTAGTTTGAGTCCAGCCTGTGATACATAGTAAGACCTTGTCTCACAACAAACAAAATATGGAAAGCAAAACCTATCCAAAGTATAAAAAGAAATGAACTGAAATGAAATACAGTAGAAGACAGAACAACTTTCACTTTTGAGAAAATCAAATGAAAATGGACATATAGATTAAATACTATGTCCTGTAGATTGCCTCTGACTGTAGATCATTTTAAATAACTTTATTAGGCTGCAAAAACAAAACAAAACAAAAACCTCAGAGAATCCCCAACCCAGAACTTCATCAGGGCACATTTTCCAACTCAATGAAGTCTGATGTTGTTAACATCTTCAAAAGACTAAGTACTCAATTTGACAATGAGAAAGTACAGCTTGAAGAATAAACTAAAGTCACCTGGGGCTGTAGCTTAGTGGTAGAATATGTGTTTAGCAGGTGTACAGCTCTGGGTTCAATGCCAGGCTATCAATAAAAACAACAAGTTCAAAACAACAAAGTTCAAAACAACAGCTACAAACTATCTAGGAATTAGCAGCAACAGAGCTATCTCATGTCAAAACCTTTACCATGGGGTAAGGCCAAACAAATACTTAGAAGTTCAAAGCATTATATGTCTATCATTGGGTTAAATATGAAAATGTACCAAAATTCAGTTTATTTTGCCATAGGAAAAATACAAAGGACAAAATAATCCATAGAAAAGTTATGGAAAATATTAAGTACAGAAATGAAGTTAGCCAGATGTGGTGATGGCTGCCTGTAATCCCAGATGTGGTGATGGCTGCCTGTAATCCCAGCACACAGGGTGTGGAGGCAGGAGGATTGAAACTTCTTGGTCAGTCTGAGCTATGTAGCTAGGCTGTCAAAAAAAAAAAAAAGCCAGGATGCAGCCCAGTGATAAAGTGCTTGCCTAGCATGTGCAAAGCCCTGGGTTTGATCCCCCATACTGGAAAAAAATTAGAAATGAGGAAAAATATAAGAATCAATAAATTAAGTTCTCTACCAAAGCAATCCCAATGCAGCCCCAATCCAAATCCCAGAAGAGTTACTTTATGGTAGGGGGAATGGAGCTTGACAAAGTAACTCTAAAGTTATTTTAAAGAATACATTTGTATAAGAATTAAGATAAATTGATAAATAGCTAAGAGTCTTTGTCCCATCAGATAATAAGATGAGGGAAAGGGGTCTCTAGACATGTGGTTAAGGGCAGAAGACACAAAGGAAAATAACAGTGTGTTCTGTTATATAATAGAGTCTACAAAATGAATAATAATATGAACCAAATTAAAAGGCAAGGGAAAAGCTGGAAAAATAACTGCAATATATTTGAAATGTTATATGGAAGTAACATTAATTTATAAAGATTTGAAAACTTATGCAAAAATACACAATAGAAAATTTTAGCAAAGGCTGTGAATGAATGATTTCTTATTAAAAAGCACAGGCTCAGTGGTTAAGAGCACTAGCTGCTCTTCTAGAGGACCTGGGTTTGCTTTCCAGCAACCATATAACAGTTCACAACTGCCTTCATGGTGCACTCAGGCACACACATGTTCTAAACACAAACACACACGTGCATACATAAACTAAATTAAATAAATACACCTTTACATATAATAATAAGAAAAATATCAAAAGCACAAACAGGACTGGAGAGATGATTCAGCAGTTAAGAATGTGTACTGCTCTTGCAGAGGATTGGAATTCAAAGTTGGTTTCCCAGTACCCATACTGGGCAGCTCACAACCACCTGTAACTCCAGTTTCTGGGGATCCAATGCTCTCTTCTAATCTCTGTGGGTACCTGCACTCACACACACATATCCGCAATTCATATACATTTACACATGGCTAAAAATGAAAATTAAATCTTTTTTATTTAAAAACACAAATATAATTTTAATAATGGGGCAGATAGAGGAAATGTAACACGGTCTAAGATGAGTGCCACCAAACTGCTATGGGAAGCATGTTGGCTTAATCTTGCTCCAGAATGGAGAAGGGACACAATTTTCATTACGCATAAGTGTTTCTAAGCACACAGATGCTTTGATCCAAAAACTCTTTTTCTCAAAATTTATCTTAAGACAGTTATGCGTATAGCATCAGATTTATTTGCCAAGACATTACTGTATTGTGATCCATAATAGCAAAAAGCTGCATGCAGTTTAAAAGAATCATGACAAGTCAAGTCAATAGCATACATCCACCAAAAATAATACTGCAGAACCATATTTAATCATGTGAAAATTTAGTGGGTATGTCATTAAAGTCTATGTTAAAAGATTGAGAAGATGTACATCTAAGTACTGGCAGCAAAGGTTTCCGTGTTCTCAGAACACAGTGCAGTGGGCTTTTCCTTCCTTTTCTTGAATGTTTCCCTGTGTTCTGGCATCATCCTTTAGATCTGAGTCATATGGAGTAAGAGTAGGCTTTGAGGCTTGCTGTTAAAGTCCTGGGCAGAGCTGCACACACTGAAAAGGGAGTCCACACATAGCCCTGGCACCTCACAGCACTCATTGATAGCCATCACTTGCCTCCTCCCCTGAAGTTACCCCTCCCCTCCCATTCCTGGCACTGGGGACAATTCTCCTGTGGGTCTTTAATTCGAAGGAACAGAAGTACAGCCAGGCATCTCCCTGGCCAGGCCAGGCCGGCTAATGAAACCTCAGCTTGCCTGTTGCCTGGCAACCAAGCTGCTTCTGGTGCTTCCTTCTCCCTTCCCCACCCAGCCCATCCTCCTCTGCTCCTGGCAGCAACCTAGACACCCACTTACTCATGGAAGATGCCGGGAAGACTGCATGGGAGGTGCTGGCCATGAAGTCTGCAATCTGACGCAGAGCCCAGATGTTGGAGGAGTTGTTGCCCTTCTTCATCTGCTCCTGGATGAGACCTTCCAGCTCCTCCCTGAAAGACTGCAGCAGGCCCAGGGGCTGTTGCTCAGCTCCTCACAGGAGGCTGACAGCCCAGTGACCCCCAAAGACTTTTCTATCTCCTCACTGGAGACCTGAGGGCCCCCAGGAGAAAGTTCACCAGGATCTCAGGGGCCTCCCAGATTGCTAGGCAGTACTGGTAACAAGGATACCCCAGGAATGAATTCTGGGCCCCACTTTCCCTCTGGGCAAGAACCCAGATTTCAACTTCTTACATCTGAGTGATGGCCACAGTCCCATCAGGCTTGGCAAGATTTTACTTTAGACAGAACAAAGGGCCTTTTAAAAAGCAGAATCGAATGAGAATGCATGCCACCCTCCATCTTATCAGCACACCCATGGCTCTTCTGAGCCTCAGTTTCCCCATGTACTTAAGGAAAGGACAGGAGGAGGAGGAAAATCTGAGGACCTCTGAGATGGCTTCCTCTTTGATGTCCTAATCTAAGCTCAGTTTTTTGGACCAATAGGCAGTATACTTCTTTCATTACCCACCAGGTGACAGGAGGTGATATAAGGAGGGGGAAAGAGGGAGCTGTGTGATGGTGGGGACCCTATGAAAGAAGCAGAGCACCTGCCACCTCCTCATCCTGTATCACTCCCGAACCCTGGCTGGTGCTACCCTGCCTGACAGCCCTCCTGCTGACACTCTGGGGGCCCTGAGGGGCTCCTCACTTCAAGGCCTGTACCACTTGCCATCTTCCTCTAGGCTCCTTACCTGATGCCACCAAGATCCCAGACTCATTCTCTCCAGGTCTTCTGTAGGGTGAGGCTTCCCAAGTGATCATGGGGTAGCCAGTTCCAAAAAGCCAAGGGGGATAAGACAGATCTGGGTTCACTTTCCTGAGTCAGCCTGCTAAGATCCTGGAGAGGCTAGCTTCCTTCATGGGAGTCTATAGGATCACTAGCTGTGTCCTATGGAACCCTAAGCGCTACCGCCTACTCCTCCCTTAGTTCTTTCTCACTAAGGGCTTGTGGTATCCTTCCTCCTCAGCAGTCTGTCTTTTCAGTGTAGACTGCCTTGGCATGAGTTCTGAGGCCATGCCAGGTGGATACCCACCCCACTCAGGTCTGGAGATCTACAGTCCTCCAGGTCAGGCTGCCTCTGTCTTGTAGGCCCTGGGTTCTCCCCTCATCACTCCTGGCCAGACATTCAAACTCTGTCTGTCCTACAGCAAGTAAAATACTCTGCTAAGCAAAGGAAGCTCTAAGCCAGGCCCATGGCAACCCACCCTCCAGCTTACAGGACTTATCTGTTGATGTTGCAGCAGAAGAAGACTGGAAACTGAGGCTCAGACAGGACACAGGACACTGGGGTCAGGGTCTTGCCTCTGCCACTTTCTGAGCCAGAATGTGTGCACACACCCAGCCTTGGCCTTGACTAGTTTTGATGGGGAAGGAATCAAATACCCACGTGGCCAGGGCCATATTGCTCAGCAGGCCTAAACTGCTACTGACCCTGAGCCAGGGAAGAGGAGCTACTGGTCTTTCCAGTCCCTGGGAAACTAGGCCTCCCTGACAGGCCACTCACAGGGCTCTGCAGGATCATGGTGACTCGCTTCTTCTGCTCCATCAGATTGAAGTCCTGCCGCAGATCGGCTGCACGGTTCCGAAGGCGAAGGTATTCAGGATCTTCTTCAGAGAACCTGTCAAAGTAGTGCTGCCCCTGCGCAGGCGGTGGGGAGGCCGCCTCTGGGATGGTGTCTTCACTCATTTTCCAGCTGGGGCTGCAATGTTCTCCTGGAATCCTGTAGAAGAACAGCAGGCTAAGTGTGGGCTGGTGCTCCAGTGGGCCAAGTGCTTGCTGAGGTGGAAGGTAGCCTGAAGGTGGATTCACTGCCCTGTGGCTAGTGCTAGTCCCAAGGGAGAAGGCAGGAGGCTGGCAGGAGCCTCCTGGGATGCTGACCCACAGGGGGTGCTAATGCATCATCAGGCTGGGTTGCAAACAAAGGTCCAGCTTAACTGGTCACATTGGGGTGGAAGAGCAGAGTTCCTGGGTGGGGTGGAAATATGGCCTGTAAACCTTTCTGAGTCTTTCTGTCTTGCAGCCCCACAGAGTGGAGTGGAAGCTATTTACGGGCATCAGTAGTTCATCTAAAATTCAGACCTCATAGTGGGCTGGGGTGTTGCTCATGGTAAAGCACTTGCCTAGCATGCTCCAGGCACTGGGTTCTATGCCCAGCACCACACAGTAAATTAGATTAAAAATACCCTTTCTGTAAGCCTCTTCAAAAGTCATGGTTGAGAAATTCACACACACACACACAAAAAATACTACTGTGAGGAGCTGGAGATCGTAGCTCATTTGGTAGAATGCTTGCCTAACATGCACAAGGCTATGGGTTCAATCCCCAGCACCACATAAACCAGGTATGATGGCACACATCTGTAATCAGGAGGCAGAGGCAGGAAGACCATCCTGGGCTATATGAGACCTTGTCTCAAAAAACCAAAACCAAAAACCCTTTCCAGATTTCCCCTCAAACAGTACTATCTTACTGGTTTTATTGGGGGAGATATTTGGCAGTAAAAGAAGGGGATGAGGATCTGGGGATAGGGAAGAAGCCTGCTGATGGGGAAGGGTGGAGGGCACAGGAGGGAGGGGAGCGAAAGGAAATCTCTTAAGGAGTCTGGAACAGAGTGCTTGGTGACATCCAAACCCAGACCTTTTTCTTTCATCTGAGTCAGGGGTGTACAAACTTCTGGCTTCTGTGGGCCACATTGTTCATACTGGAGAACTTCACAACCGAGTTACAAAGGAAAGTTAAAAAAAAATCTCATAGTGTTTTAAGTAAATTTATGGTTTTGTGTTGGGCCCAGCTATGCTGGGGTGGAGGCATTTCAGGTGGAAAATGCTCTAGACAAGAAGTCAGAGCTTGGTCAGCTCTGTTCCTTGACTACATGGGCTCAGCAAGTTGCTTCCCCTGTCTACCTTACTTTATCTATTTCTCAATGGGTGTGAACTGTACAGCCTCTGGGTTCCTTTTCATCTTGGAGCCTACATGGTTTGTTGGAGTTGGAGACAGACGGATCCATATAGGAAAGATGGAAGGATAGACAATATGGGTTTCCTTGAGCAAGAAACCTCCCTGCTCTCTATCCCCATCCCCTGAACCTGTCACTCAAGACAGGGGCCAAAGAGAACCATCTCAAAGCACACACAGGCCAACTGCGCAGTGACCTGAGGGACTGTAGTCAACCCACAGGCAAGTGCAGCCCACTTGAATCTCTATCCTGCTCCCTCCCAGCCCATCCCTGGACCTTGGGAGTAAGACAGAGTAGGAAGGACCAATGCAAGGGACTGCATGCGAGCTGTGAAGACAGGCGCCGGCTGCTAGATTCTGTGGGCAGGCAGCACTGCAGACTGAAAGCCTCTTATGGGCACTGCCCATCTGAAAACACTGCGCTGCCTGTGCCACTGTGGCGTGCCCGTCTCCACAGCACCGTCAAAGCCCCGAACCTGGGATGTTATTAAACAGAAGTAAGGACCCCTACCCTGTTAGTACACTGAGGGTGAGTATGGGCATGTGGGGCCTTGTGTCCCATAGGACTCCAGGATTCCCGTTCCAGAATCACCAAACTTTCTTTCTGCTTCTCTGGGCCTGGGATGATGAGGGTCAGTATGGCTGATCCTGAGCCCTCCTGGCCTCAGTCTCTTCTGTCCAGTAGGAAGCCACAGGTCCTCTCCCTTTCCCTGAAGAGCTGCTGCCCCCATGACAAGACAGGCTGCCCCAAGTCATCGTCTATGCTCAGAGTCAGGCTACAGGATCATTCCGGATTTGATCCACAGGGGTGGTGTGAGATGCTCTAACTCTGTCCCCATGACAACAGGGGCTCTGTGGAGTGAGGTGCTCTTCCCTGCTTGTCCCTTTACCTCCCACAGCACTGTTGGTGACCACAAGTACTTGCAGATGGCTTAGTGGCTAAAGGCACCAACCGTGGAACCGGCGCCATCTGGGTTTGAATCTCAGCTATGCAGCTTAACAGCTATGTGGTTTTTCAGCCAACTAACCCAACTCTGTGCCTCAGTTTCCCTATCTATAAAATGGGGGTCATGGTGGTTATTTAGATGCTTCAGGAAGGGGCTATGAGGGTTGGCACAGTTTGTATATGTGAATTCTTAAGACAGGGCAAGTGTGATAAACTTTTTGGTTTTTCTAGGTCACTGAGGGGCTAGAATCATCTCCTATTAGGAACTCTATGACTAGAGGTTGAAATTCTGCTGTAAGTAGGTGCACACTAAATAACTGTGTTTTAGCTCCCAAAGTGAATTCAATCTGGAGCTCTGTTTAAACAAAAAGAAGCACATAGAGAGGGAGACTGACAACTGAGTGCAACGTGGCGGCCTGAGGTAACAGGAAGAGATTAAACAGGGCACCAAGGATCTCAGGAGCCCCAAGCTCGCTGGGCCAGGTCTGACAGAAGCACTGAGCAGAGCACTTACCAGAGGGCTGATCCTGGCCTGTCCAGTCTCTGTCTTCAGTGCCAGGTCTGCACCTGCTTCAGGCTCAGGAGGCCGGGCCAAATCCACACCTCACACACTCAGGCGGGCACTGTAAACAAAAGTGCAGACATCAGTGCCTCAGCCAGCTACACTAACCTGACATGGTAGCTCTTCACTTGACTTACTTCGTAGATGACGGGATCGCCTAAAAAATGACCTGAAAATGAAGGTTTATTTTAAGAAGAGGGAATTATGCCTATTAACAGGCAAGGAAGACTATTACCTTTATGACTAGAGTCAAACCTCCTTTAAACCCTTTTGCTCAATGCAGATTGCAGGAGGAGGATGGGGAGAAGGAGGGAAGGGAGAAAGGGGAGGGAAAGAGAAGAAGATGACGGAGGAGAGGGACAGAAGGACGGGAAAGAAAGAAGGATGGAGAATGGGGGAGAGGAGGAAGAGGATGAAGGGGGATGGAGGAGAGGAGGAGGAGGAAGAGGAGAGAAGGAAGAGAAGGCAGGAAAGGAGGATGTGAGGGGGAGAAGATGAGGAGGAAGGGGTAAAGAAGAAAGGGGGAAAGGAAGGGAGGAGAACAGAAGAGAGGAGGGGAGAAAGAAAATGAAGGGGGAGGGAAACGCAGGGAGAGGGGGAAAGGGAAGAGGGGAGGAGGCAACAATGGCAGCAGCTGCTCTGAGGGTGGAGGACGCAGAGAATGGAGCCAGCAAATGGGACCTGTGGCCAAGTCCCGTGGCACTTCACTGACAGCCGCTGGACTCACAGGTGCTGGGGTAAGGAGTTGAGGATCCAGCCCCAGACACAGAAAGAGTCTGAAGTATACCACACTGCAGTAAAGTGGGAGAGGCTCAGACTGGAAAAACTTCACCTATGTTGCAAAGGAGAAATGGCTCTGCTAAGGACTGGGTGGGTGGGGAACCATAAAGGAGAGTCTCTTGACAGAGTCTCACAGACACAGGAAGTCACTTCTGCAAAGATCCTTAAAAGGTCCATCAGTGAGATGTTTGTTTCTGAGTGAGCTGTCATTTTTACATGGGTACCCTGTTGTCCAGGAGTGAGAGTTATCATTTTCACTTGGGTACCCTATTGTCCAGCCCCCAGGTACTGGGGTGTCTCAAGGGCTGACCCCCCTCCATATGCCCTGCCCAAGGCTGAGGCTCATCTGAGCTCCTTCTCTGACCTGACACTAGAAGAACAGCCATCTGGGGAAGTGTGGTCCCTCGATGAGGAGCAAGAAGAATGGATTTGGGGGTGTACCACGTCTGTAGAAATAGAATACTGAGACATCGCCCCCTCCTCAACCTAGTCAGTAGGCCTAGGGTTCCACATCTTAGTGTCCTGCTGTCCCCAAGGCCAGTCCTGGCTGTCACTCTTCTACTTGGGGTACTTGAAATGCTTTCAAGAGCCAGGTCTGTGTTCAGCATGTCTGACACCTGCTAGAGACCACCTAACAGTGGTTTTGCTTATTTATTTTAGCTAGAACAGGGTCACAGCCACCTCTGTGCCCTCCAGAGCCCTCCCTTCATGGCTGACCCCAGAGAAGGACTGCTGACACCCTTGATGCCCCCTTAGAGATCAGTCCTACCACAGAGGTCAGAACCCACTAAAATTTGAATTGCTGGATTCTGAACAGTGACCTGTGTGCAGTAATAGAATTCACCCTCTGTCCCCAGAAGTGGCATGTGCCATTCATATAAGAAGGCAGACATCTATCTCCCATGTGAACATAATCCCTATCCATGCCTAGGGTCAGGGTGTTACTTCTGGCTACAGTGAAATGACCCTGTATTTCCAGAGGCTGATGCATGATCTGTAAAGCAAGCTACCGGGGCAGTAACCTTGCTTAAATGCAGACTGCACAGTCAGGCTGTGCTAGACAAGGAGGGGAAGGTAATCAGTGCATTTAAATGATGACCTTGGCTTGGCTGGAGCGTCCACCTCTAAAGCCTGGGTGAGTGTGGTGTGGAACCCAAGACCATCTCCGGAAGTTCCCGTGCAGAGCCTTAAGAGCCCCCTGCATCTAGCTTCTAGTCACTCATAGCCCTGGGAGAGCTGGAAAGCCAGGGGCAGTGTAAGCCATGGCACCCGTGTGGGGAGATGAGGCACCTGTGAAAATCTCACAGCTGTCATGATGGCAGTCTGTCCAATGGACCATGGCTCTGACCAGTCTATACCACACCCTCTCTGCCCTGACCAGCCACCACCCCTAAGTGACCCAAGAGGCAGCCTTGACTCTTTCCTTTCTGGGCATCTCAGTGAGAGTTCACATGCAACTACATTTCTGCCCCTCAGTGGTCAGGGGCTTGTAGGGCTGTTCTTGTCGCCCACCCTCTGTTCAATTGGTTACCAGAGCCACTGTTCCAAATATGCAAACCTGACCTCTGCCTGCCATGGCCCTATTGATACCAGCTCCCCCTCACCAGGGGCAACATGCCTATATCTTTTTAATTCCTGTTCTTTCAGTCAAAACTTAGCTAAACAGATTCTGTTGCAAAAATGACAGGTGTTCTGTTCACCTTTTCCAAATACAAAGCTATAATTATAAATTTGCTTTTTCAAACCAAATGTGTTGAGTTCAAACTCATTGACCTCCGGCCAGGAGCTGTGCCCCCACCTCTGTTTCTTTGTCCCTCCTCCCCGCTTCTCCTTGAGGAGGCCACCTGTAGGATAAGGTCCCCACCTTGTGGTGACACTCAGTGCTCATCCTACCTTCCCTGCCTAACACGCTCTGGAGCTACTCATTCTTGGGGCACCAGGCAGATTGAGAACACTGGTGTCTGCTGGGAGCACCTTTTCCTCTCTACTCCCTTCAGCTCAGGTGTCCTCTCTCTGGGGAGTCTGTCCTGTACCCACCCCCAGCTGTCACTCACGTTCACCTGCTTTTTCCATTCCTCTTATAATCCAGCAGCAACACCCTTACCCAAAGTCCTAGCAGGCAGGGCTGTGTCAGGCTTCTCTCTGTTCCTCGTGTTGCACAGGATTGGTGTGAGGTAGGTGCTGGATGAATACTGACTGAGCAAAGCAAATGTAGGAGTAACAGTGCATTGACAATGGGGTCAGGTCAACAAAGCAGCTACAGGTTCACCCAGGCCCAGAATCCTAGAGGCAAGGAAGACCTGAGGGAAGGTCATAGCACGAGGTACGAGACAGAGCCCAGGCAGCCACCTGCAGGGAAGGGTGACAGGTGCCCTGGGGACCAAACCACTTCCTCATAAATACTGTCTTCCTCTTGTGTACAGCCCAGTGGCTTGTCCCTCAGGCCCCTCTTCTCTGGGATGGACTCCCTGATCTTCCTTTGTACAGCTCAGTGGCTGGCCCTCAGGTCCTTTACTCTGCAATAGACTTCCTGCTCCTCCTGTGTACAGTCCAATAGCTGGTCCCTCAGACCCCTCTTCTCTGTAACAGACTCCCTGCAACCTCCTATAACTCAGGGCCAGGCCCTTCAGGCTCCTTTCCTCTGGCATAGACTTCCTGCTCCTCTTGTGTATAGCCCAGTGGCTGGCCCCTCAGGCCCTCTCCTCTGCAATAGACTTCCTGCAACTTCCTGTATATAGCCTAGTGGAAGGCCCTTCAGGCCCCTCTGTTCTCGAGTAGACTTCCTGCTCCTCCTGTGTACACCCCAGTGGCTGGCCCCTCAGGTCCCTTTCCTCTGGAACAGACTTCCTGTAACCTCCTGTGTACCGCCAGTGGCAGGCCCTTCAGGCTCCTCTCACTTGGAATAGACTTCCTGCTTCTCCTATGTACAGCCCAGTGGCTGGACCCTAAGGCCCCTCTCCTCTGGAATAAGTTCCTGCAGACCACTCCCGCTGATTACTATCCCAGGGGGACCAAGAAGCTGCTAATGTCCATACCACATCACACTTACCATAACCCCCTTAACTCTCCAAAGCTGCCCTTCCCTACTCTCTCTGCCCCAAGACCCTGTTGCCTGCTCCGGAAGCCCTGGAGCCCTGGATACCCCTCTCAGGGTTGCCACGTCTCAGCTCTGCCCCTCAGCTGAGCTCTGGGAGGTTAGAGGCCCAGTTGGGCAGCAAGTCGCTGCCAGAGGGCATTTTCTACCCTGCCTCACTAAGCAAATCCCTATGCTCCTTGAGGGGTTCACTGGACCCCTGAGGCTGAAAGAACCAGAAGGTACAGAGACCCACACCACAGACCTTGCTGTTCCTGGAGGAGAGCAGTGTGACCATCTGCCACTTCAGTAAGGAATCCCTAGACCAGAACAGACAGTCTGACTTGGTACCCAGAGCCTAAACAGCCTTGAGCTATTCTTTCCCTACTGTCACCACTACCACAGTCTCAGAAACCTGAAAGCCCAGCCCTGTTGCTAGCATCAGGCAGGGCATCAGAACCCACACTCACCGATCTTCCATCTTCACAGACTCCCTCAAGTGGAAGAGGCAGCGATCCCAATGGCCTTGCAGCTGTTTTGTAGAATGGGGGGTGGGGGGGCAGTTGAATGAGGGATGCTGCCACACCCTGCCTGCCATGTTAGATAAGGGCAGGATGGTGGGGACACTTATCACCTTCTCTCATACCATATGCTTCTGCATTCTCACAAGTTCCACCTCAGTCACTAACCATTGTGGTCATTTAGGAACATAGTTATTTAAAAGATGAAAAGGGGAAGGCGAGATGTGGTAAAGCCTATGTCCGTCCTCAGAAACCTTGTTGGCCTGAATAATCTCTGAACCACTGTCTGCCTTGGGCCCACCCAGGATTGATTTCTGGGCATCTCTGATGTGTGCTGTCCTAGAGAAGCCCAGGGAATATTAAAAGCTTTTAGTCACAGGCCTTGCACCAAGGGGCTGACAGATAGCTGGGTTTCCCACCCTTACTTTGCTGTGGAAGAAACAGCCAGCACTGCTTCCTCCAGACCAGGAATCAGTTTGGTCTGCTCACTAGGCAGCATTGGGACTGGATCAGGATCTTCAGGAGCCCAAGGATGAACGGGAACTGGAATTGGACACAAGAGGGAAGATGCCTGGGAGAGAGACAAGGCTGTCTGTCCAGAGACTCATAGTCAGGCTTGTATTCCTGAAAGATGAGAGTGAATATACAACACAGAGATACACAGACACATGTATGCAGACACGCAGT